GTGGTAAAGGTCTGGTTAGGTTTAGGCACAAAAACCACTTGGTTAGGGTCAGGAAAAGATCATGGTGTGGGTTAAAATGAAAAAGAAAGTGACAAACACATAAGCCGTGAGCCTGCTCCGCCTCAAGCCGGACGCGGCGCACCATACGCCCGCCACGAGCCGTTCAGCACCGCGAACAGTCGGACTAATGGAATGTAGAACCAATGACATGGACCCAAAACAACAGACCTCAGAGTTGAATCAATACTCACCCCTCTTGTAAACCAGCCTGCAGGACCAGCTGACCATCACAACTTGAATCACCAAAAAGCCACGAAGATTGATCTCTACATTATGAATATTCACCAGTACAGAAGACACAGCAACTTAAAATCCTCTTTCACTTACATTGTAATTTATTCTTTCACCATTTCAACAATGTTTGATAAGCGGACACAATATATGATGAACTGTATACACCTGAACACAGCCAGTTATAACTGAACGGTTCCTCACAGCAAATATACTGTACATAACCATCTTTAATAGAAAATAAAAAGGAACATACTGATTTGGGCCCTTTATAGAATACATTCAGACAGAACCACTCTGGTCCAAAAAGGGGAATGACCCAAGCTGCTGGCTTCAAAAACATACATAGTTATGGTCACAGCTTAAAATACATATATTAGCTTGAAATAAATTTAGAAATATATTTTGACCATACTTATATACTCTACTGAATACGATTTTACTCAAGGTGCACAACATACCTGTGTTACTCTTTCAGTATCCAAACATTTCTCCTGCTCTGGAAAACATGAAAAACACTGCAAACGCACCTCAGGGCACCAGCAGCGCCAGCGTTTGTGTCATGCTCCCAGCTCAATTCTCAGTATTTGGTATCTGTCGGCACTATTATAATCCTCAGCAGACGCTGATGAAAAATAGCCTCAGCCTGCAATTTTTTTATTTATTTTTTTTAAGCAACTCAACACCAGCACCTGGCTGAAGCGTAAATGCACAGAGCTATTATCTGAATGACAAACATGCTGCTGTTGTGCTCTAATTTAGCTCTGAAAATGACAGAGGAAACACTGAGAGTCGCTTCTATAATAAAACACAGAGCCATGGCTTCCTGATGCCACATATAGGCACAGCTTCATGTGTCATGCGTCACTGTCAGAGTTGGTTATAACGAGTTACTTTTTGCAGTAACAAGTAACCTAACGTGTTAGTTTGCTGTTTGAGTAATCAAATACTTAAGTACATTTTCAAACAAGACATCAGTTACTTCCGTTACTTTTAGAACGCTGGTCCTTCAGCTCCGTTAAACCTATCAGTCTAAAAGAAGCCACGGAGCTTGTGGCTCGCTACGTGGTCGGAGAAATGCTGCCGTTGTCTACGGTGGAGTCTAAATAGGTGTAGTAGGACTCACTGACAGACATATTTCAGACTCAGGACTTGCATTATGCCTGGTACAAGCTACGCTGGTACTCACCAATTATCCCCGGTCGTCTTTCATGGCGTGTGTGATGTCATCGGGTTATTCTTGTCCTATTTTTATTACTTTCACTATTATTTGAGTCACTGTGTCAGTTCATGTGCCAGTGACATCTGACATGTTGTTGTAGTCACCTAAAAGCGTCAGCAGATGGAAAGAGCTACATTACAGCTACAGGAAGTTCTGAAAAATGTTTCAGAATAAAAGCCTATTTAGAAAATGGAGGGATTCTCTCAGCCGAGGTTATAAGGGGCTGAGTGTGTTGAGTTTGAAATGACGGTGCGATATGTTAACTTTACAAAGACAACGGAGCGGATAAAAAGTAAATATATAAACACACAGAGGGATTAATAAATAACAGACCGTCTATAATATAGTCTGTTTCAAATGAAGCTGGGAGCCTCTGCAGTTGTGGTGAGTAAAAGCCCCGCCGCTATTTGTTAATGTTATTTTTTTATGTCCAACTGTGAGGATGTACCATTGTTTGCTAGCTTGATGCTAATGACAGTAACGTTAACTCAGCGGGTTGACAAAGTGCCTCTGCTGTTTCACACCATCATTTCCCCCTTTTACTCTGTGTGGTAACATCCCTAGAGGAAATATTAAAATGCTGGGGTGTTGTTGTCATACAGTTGTCTACGGCAGCAGATCGTTCTGTGTTTCTACTGGTCAAAGTGACGGCTGTGATGGGAGAATTGGATCTCAGTGAAGGGCAAGTGGTCCATAACTTTAATTTTGGAGACAAAAAAATGTAGGCTTAGTGCCCTGTGGTCCATTGCCCAATAGGAAATGTAGAATACTCAAAAGTACTTTAAAAGTGCTTGAGTTACTTTTCTCAGGGAGTAACGTTGGAAGTACTTTTAAAGTAACTGAGTCACTTTATTCAGGGAGTAACGCAGTAAAGTAACCGGTTTTTTAAAAAAGTAACGCAGTAACGTACTTTGATTACTTTTAAAGTAACCCTTACCCAACACTGGTCACTGTGTATTCTAGAGTGGGTCTGGCAGTGACCTCTGACCTCTGTGTGCAGCCAGTTGTGGTTTATATCAACTCATTGTTTATTTGGCTGCACCCTGCGATTTATCCAACTGTAACACCTCCACAAATCTGGAATACTGAAACTACACACAATCATACTCACCTGAGAGTACACACGCGCGCACACACACACACACACACACACACACACACACACACACACACACACACACACACAGACATGCTAAGAAATATATTGACAGCAATCAAATAAATCACCTGTATAAACACATATGTACACACAACATTTATCAATTATAAATTAACATTGTGCAAATAGTCATACATACAAAGTCATGATGAGTTAGCTCCTGCAAAAGATTTAGCAACTCAATGTTTAATCAATGCTCTGTGGGAGGCTTGCCTTCTTTAAAGGTCCAGTGTGTAGGATTTGGTGGCATCTAGTGGTGAGGTTGCAGAACTGAAACTTCTCCCATGTGCCAAGCGTGTAGGAGAACTAGCCAGTGTTTGATTTGTCCATTCTGGGCTACTGTAGAACACCATATAAAGCTCCATGAAAGAGAACCTACTCCATGGGTGTTTCTCAAAGTCAAGGATCTTTTCTTGGGAGGACCCGTCCCCGCACTCTGTAATGTTGTTGTACAATTTTAAATAAATGTATCAGTATTGTCAGAATCACGTGACTTTTAGGGAGAATATATTTCTTGATGGTATTTAAGAGTAAGTGGAGAGTAAGTTCTAAATTGTAATTAACAGTATATACTCAGACTCACACACAGAATCACTCTGTCATTTCAAAGTGATCCATATTTTCTGTGTCTATCACCACGCACACTCCGCCACACTAATATGAATAGCAGATCTGATCTGATGAGCCGTGCTGCTCTGAAATAGCTGACCCACTGCCTGCACATGATACCGCCAGGTAATCCTCTGAAATAAGTTCACCTCAAAACAAATGAGTGATGCTTTATCCTGCAGGATATTCTAATGTGTCTACTCTGGCCGTCCTCACCGCGATTCCCCCCAAAAAATACACCTATTGAAACTGACAGAATGAGAGTGGTTATCATGTGAATAGTTGGGGGAGGAGGGGAGGGGGACACTTAGCGCTCCATCTCTGCTGTGAATTATTCATTTAAAAACTTTTATGTTTTATCTAAATCACATTATTTCAAACAATCTCATTTGGCAGTGGACGCATTGGAAAGTGTAAATTATGAGGTTTCTGTCAATATATTTTTCACGCTTGTATGATAAAAACTCCTGGAGACATTAATCCAAATAAATGACATCTATCAGTCCATCGTGAAACTCGGAAGGATCCTCGACATTGGAACAGTCCCTCAGCGGGGGTCTATGACATAGCGTCCTTCAAATTCGGCCGTTTGAGGATCCCTCCTTGACTTTGAGAAACAACCCATATGTGGATATAAACGGCTCATTTAAAGATAACACAATGATTCTTACTTTAAGGTGATTAGAAACTAATGAAAACATAGTTAAGAGTATTATATACCATTATTGTCAGTAAATGCCCCTAAATCCTACACTCTGAACCTTTAAAAAGCAAATGCAGTGTATTCAGAGGCAAATGTACCACTGCTAATTTGGCTTTCTTTGTCACTAGAATGCTGTTTCTTCTACTTTTAGGGTGCAGAGTTTTGTTCTAAGTGTCCACAGCGCCTGCAGACACAGGATAAGGCTGAATATTCAAACACTGTTTATACAGAGTAACTGGGCCGGGCAATCATTAGCAAAGGCTTTCAGAGAGAGGAGATACTGATGTGATGTCACTGTGTGGCACCCATCCTCTGCGAATGACTCACACAGCTTCAAACTTGAACTCACTAAATATGCAAAAACTTGCAGAAACAGCCATGTGCCAGAGATGTCATGTTACTCTTGAGTCACGGTGTTGAATTCATACTTAATGCATGGGCGGCTTTACAGGTCATGTCTATATGCTGTGTATTTTTATCCTTGATATGAGTGCACGGTTTCCCCTGTCAGCTTTCGTCTTGAGGGCTGAGTGGGCTCCTGTGTGGAAGTTTATATAGTTTCATGCCAAGGCGTTTGAGTCAGATAACATCTTGATGGCACGGAGAAGAGAAATCATATTTAATGGCACAGAATTGCAACTATCCCCCCTTGGAAAAACAGCTGGCACATTTACACAGTTAACTGTAGCACTCTGCAGTATCCAAGATTGACACCTATGTAAAAAAAAAAGACTTATTTTTATTGTAAAACACCTAGTCAAGCGATGATCGTTATTTATAATTCACTATCTCTTGACCTCTTGTAATGTTTGTATAAGCCAGGAATGACCTGGTGAGAGCAGCTGCCAATTTCCACTGTCCCCTGGATGAGGCTGCTTGAACAGCACTGTGGTCACCTTACTGTATGAAGTACAGCCAGTACAATGTTTTCTGTACATTTTCATAAAAGTCAGTATGGACAAGAAACCATTTACAGATATCAGAGCAATGCAAAAAAAAAAAAAAGAAAAACGTCTGTTCCCTACCATCTTGTTTTGAGTCACTTGTTTGGTCTTTTTTGTGTATACAGTTCAATGTCCAGCTTGTCTTTAACCTCCAGTACCACAAAACACACATTTGATACACAGCACGATTTAAAGCAGAGGCTCAAGCAAGGACCCTGTTTCTTTTTTTGTTTCTGTAGTTGCTATTTGAGGTTTCAGGTTTTTTTCTTATTATTTTACATGGCTTATCTGCCTTGAGATGCTGTCGTTGCACCGTTCAACATGCAGTAGTTTCTTTCGATGTATGGCAAACGTCTACAAAAATCCATTCGCAAAGCTCACAGAACATTAGACACCTCAGTGTGAGAGTCTGCGGTAATATTCTCCCTTCTCTGGCTGCGTGCCCACTTGTTCTCCCAGCGACACCAATCTCTGGGCAAAGACCGCTCTGACAGATGAGTCTATCAGCCCAGCTCTTCACAGCCACCCAGGGAGGTATGTCAGAGCCAGATGAGAGCTCACGGCCGTCCAACTTTCTTCGTCGAGTTCTCGCTCCCAGTGCCTTTCACAGGTGGCTCTCCATGTTCCTTCTCTGACCCTCGCAACACCGCACCTTGTCCGTAGGGCTGATGTCCTCCAGTAGGGTGCAGTTGCTGATGGTTCCCTTGTGAACCGGGGAGGAGCACTGGTCTGCCTCCTTACTGTGGGCCATACCGTTTTGGCATCCACCCACGAGCATGTGCGTCTCCTCAGGGCTGCAGACGGGGGAAGAGCTTTTGGCGATGTCTGGGAGATGAGGCAGTCGAGAGACGTGATTCAACAGGCTGGCCGTCTTGGTGTTGGGGGTATTGCTGTAGGTGTGGCGGTACTCCTCCTCGATGTTCCTCCCTAGCTTCCAACGCTTCCACTTCTTCAGGATCTCTGACTGCACCTGAGGAGAGACAAAGGCAGACGTTATTAATGTGATAACGGGCGAAAAGTTGGGGGTCGACAAAGGTGTTTGTGTTGTGCAAATGCAGACACTCACTTCTTTGTTGACAAAGCAGTACAAGATGGCCACCAAGAGACCCTGTAGAGACAACCAGTACTGAGTCAGTCTGATAGAAATAGAATGAGAGTAGAACAGACAAATCAACATTGCAAGATATTCAGAGCAACGGGCATTTACCGTTGCCATTGCAATTGTATAGCGGGCTAACTTCAGTGAGTATCTTCTGTCTTAAGTGTAAAGCCTCATGTCTGCACTTGTCGTCTCTGACTTCTTACTGTCCTCTCTCTGTCGCCCTCTTCATCAAGGCGATTCCCCTGGTGGCTGGCTATAACCTCGACTCACGTCATCCATGTCCTCATAGCAAAGAGGTCACTGTCATTATGTCACAGTGTGACACAGCCAGTTAGCAGCACAGATAGCACATTATACTAATGTAATCCCTCCTGACACTTGAGTAAATACAGGTCCCGGGGGAAGGGAAACTCAGACATGCAGCGACTGGACGGATCGCTGAACAAGCTCATCTTGAACGGCACTTAGATACGATGAAAGAGTAACTTTTTACTGTTAGTTTAGTAAAGCGTGAATGCCAAGATTTGGATTTGATTCGAAGATTGATGTAATTCTTCCACTGAATCTTGTTAGATTCTTGTTAGATTGACTCAAATTTGAGAACAAAGGCAGTGATTTAAACTTGTTTTTTATCCTGTTAGGCATGTCTTACCCATTTATCTCCCTCATCGTTCATTTCACACATCTTCCTCGCATGCATTATATGCTGTCTTTTTCAATTTTGTCTCAGTACGCTAACTACAGGGGAGAATTATGAACCATAAGATGTCCCACCAATTTCTCAACTCTCATCTACACCCCTGATCTAAGCTGAGTGATGCTGAGCTATTCCATAAATGATGCAGTCTTTGTTTTTGTCTGACTTACCGCCTCATGGTTGTATGCCCCTGCGAACAGTACAAGTTGCAATTACAGTTACATTCATGCCTGTGCAGGCTCAAATGCTACATATTCTAAAATGTGAATGCTTCACACACATCTTCAACCCGGCTGCACAAAAGATCTGTACAAACACCAAAGTTTCAAGGTGGTCATCCAAGGTTAGTGTCACCAATACAGTAACCGACCAAATGTCTTCCCTTCTGCTCCTGAGTCTTGGCGTTCAACAATGGACAGAAAAGTGTTTTTGCAGAACACTATGATGTCACAATGCCATTTTATCCTGTTTGACATAAAATTTTGTCATAATTGTCATAATTAGTGTATGAATTCTTTAGTTGTAGCCAAGAACATGTTTATGAGGTCACAGTGACTTTTGACCACCAAAATCTAATCACTTCATCTTTGTGTCCAAGTTAACATTTGTGCCAAAATTTAGAAAATTCCCTCAAGGCCTTATTGGGAAATCACGTTCACGAGGATGAGATGGATGCAAGGTCACAGTGACCTTGACCTCTGACCACCAAAGTCTGGTCAGTTCTTTATCAAGTCCAAGTTTATGATTGTACCATATCTGAAAAAAAATTCCTAAAGGTATTCTTGAACTATCTGCTTCACAAAAATATGATGGACGCAAGGCCATAGTGACCTTGACCTTTGATCACTTAAATCTAGTTAGTTTATCCTTGAATTCAAGTGGACGTTAGTACCTAATTTGAAGAAATTCCCATGGGGTGTTTTAAAAAAAATTAATGAGACGGAGAGACAAACAAATGTATAACCCAAAAACCAACCTGGAAGGAGGAGAAGAAGAGGTCGCTGAAGAGCTTGGTGAGACGAAGCCCAATGGTGGCTTTCGTGGACTCGTCCGTCACGAAGATGAAGACCATATGATGGATGCCCAGCAGAGGGATCAGGGTTAGAGTCGACTTAGCCAACCTGAGACGGAGGGGGATGAGAGACGAAAAGAGGGAAAGCACAGAATAAGATGAGAGAATGGTGCGATGTAAGGGAACTGCCCATTGGTTCGACATCCCATTGTTCCGACCATATTAAATTCATTTTTCCGAAGTCCGTTCCGAAATCATCATGACGCCCTGTGGTTAAGGTCTGGTTAGGTTTAGGCACAAAAAGAAAGTGACAAACACATAAGCCATGAGCCTGCTCCGCCTCAAGCCGGTCGCGGCGCACCATACGCCCGCCGTGAGCCATTCAGCACTGCGGACAGTCGGACTAATGGGATGTCGAACCAATGGGCTGTCGAACCAATGACATGGACCCGCGATGTAAATAGCAAAGCTGTTGCAACACTTGAACTCACCTGAATTTGTAATCTGTGTATCTCATTTGGTGCGCTCGAAGTTTTGACACAAGAATTTTGATGATATGGATGAAGATTAGGAAGTTGATCTGTGAAAGAAAGAGACACTGCCAAGCTGAAACTTTGCTCAAACAAAACATACAATAAAAGGTACTTCCAATAACTTCTGCAGGTAAAACCAAAACTACCAGTACGGACTGATTCCCATAGTGGGAAGTGCAAAACATTTTTTGAATCTAATTTGAGTGAACTGACCCTTTAACATTATTACTTACAGTAGAGGCACATCAGGGAAGCCCCTGACACGAGCTGACATTTAAAGGATCAGCAGGTGATTCTCTAATGAAAATCACTTATGACGTGACATTTATATTGTAATTAAGTCTTTGCTGGTCATTTGGCTTCAACAAAGGAAGAGAAAGGACTTAATTTGTACATACGGTCACATGTGCAGGCATTTTGTGTTTATTAGAAACACAGTGCTATTCCACGTACTGTGTATGTACCCCCTCAATGTGTATCAGCATGAAAACTGTATGCATGTTATTTCGTGTTTGCCTAGACTTTGATCTTTGACCAGTCAGTAACAAAATCACATGCTCTTGCAGCGACACACACACATACAAGTGTTTACTACTGAGCTTTCTGCTCTGATGTGCACCCTGTTGGGACCAGGACACAGAGGGAAACACTAAAATGGGAAGCAGCCCTCACGTCTCTGCGACAACTCAAACACAGGAATTCCTGTGAGATACAGGCCACTTAGCAAAAAGATTAATGCATGGAAAATGCCAGGATGTCTGTGTAACTGGTCTGGCATAAGAGCCATGACAAATGGGACTTATGTAAAAGCTCAGAACTGACCTTTGCAGAGCACATCTACAATAAAGGGCCTGGTCATGGCGTGAATAGAGTTTAAATGTGTTAGCAAAAATCATATTTCTTTAATCCAAACACTTTTGACTCTGAAGATGTTTCACAGATGTTCCCCCTACAGCACAGACAGCCTTTTACACTTCGTGAATAAATGAAGTGTATTTAATATTGTATACTATATGAATGGGGAAAAGCAGAAATGTAAGAGTGGTGGGTGAATATGAGAGGTTTTAGTGTGAATGCACTTTTTTGTTGATGTAAAAAAACATGTGCATGTGGCACTTTGGATTCAAGTGTTTAGGAAAAGGCGTATCATGATGTGAAAGGAACTTGTGTATTGGTAAATAAGCAGGAGACAGCAACAGAATAAGAGCGAGGAAGGTGAAATTACCACAACTGCCAGCAGTATCGGAGAACGGATGATCCACCAGTAATTCATGTTTATATTTTGGCCCCAGCACCTGGGAGAAAAAAAAAGCGTTGGAGGGAACATCAGTGAGACGACTAGAAACACCTTTCAAACAGGTTCACTCTGACACACAGGCTTTCCTCTCTCTGGCTGATGAAATGCCAGCGACGAACGACACCAGACATCATTGGGTTTTTAAGCTTTACATAACAACACATTGTGTCTGCGGTTTTAGAAAGCGCAGCTTTAAAATCCCTTTCACCCCCATTACACTAGACCTTTAGAGATTGCATAATAAAGGTTGGAAACATGAAATATTAAAAACGTGCCAACACAACTCCTACTCTGACTTAGTTTTTTATTACTGGCGTCCTGCAGAGGATAAAATGCGCCTGTGTGAAAAGTTTAATTACAGCAAACTCTTTGTGTAGTAGTGATGGATGGAGTTTATAAGTTTATATTAATAAAGGTGAAATTTTAATACATCGATGCAGCATCCTACTTGTACGTACGTAGGCTGTGTGCGCTCATTACATTGTTACAGAAATATCACTGTCCAACAATTTGTCATTTGAGGGGGGAGTAGCAAACTTCCAAGTAACCTTTACAGCCTTGTGCTGCATTTATGTGATGTCAGAATATTCTGTTTCCTTTGTCTTCATAATCAATGTGTTGTTAAACGCTCTGAGCCATCAAATAAAACACATCTTCTTTCTAAAGACTATGTTGTTTCCACATTACAATATCAGCTCATGAACAAACCAAAATCAGAAAAACCACCATTGCAGGAGCACAGGAATACACTGCTGGCATTGTCTGACAAGGGTCTTGGCTCAAGTCTGATTTTATCGTTCCCAGGTTGTTCATTCAGCGCTGTTCCTGCACTACACTATGACATCTTACAGATTCATGAGCACATGAACGTTCAACAGGCTGACCCGGTACATACTGGACACTATCAAGAGTTGTTTTTAAAGATTTGTGTGTTCAATTTTTGCCCATCCCTGTTGCGCAGTAATTACTTGGTGAATTGCACATGAGCTGCTGACTATCAACAGGACTCCCTTAGAAACTTTTCACCCAGATGGGCAAGGTTTTGCAGGACCCAGCAGTACTCACTTTGTCAAGCTCCGTGACCTTTGTGCAGAACAGAGATCCTGAATTAATGAGAAGTTGGACTGTGTGGTAAAGTACGAGCTAGTTTTATTTCTACAGCTTGAAAAATGAGGCAAACTGGACAGAATAATACGCACACAATATGAGCTCAGTTTATGTATATGGTCTGAAACCTGTTTACATGCAATCTGATAGTCTGCCTTGTAAACCTGTTTGGGCTGGGCATTCTGATGAGAGGTACTACACTGATAACAGACCCCTCCATCTCAGTGTTTTTTTGCCCTTGAATGTAATGTATTTAATCTAAATGTCTGTATATTTTCACACTATTTAATTGTACATATTTTCCAGTGTAACATGATGGTCAATTTGAGAATTTATCAGCTGTCGGGTAAAAGTCAGTTACAATTCTGCAGGGAAGTCTAACGTAAGCCACGTTTGTATCTTTATAAATCGATGAAAAAACATAACAAGACATCATCTCTGTTTGAAGTTCCTGTTAAGCATGAGGTCTCTGGTAGGTTTAATATGGAGTTAGGGCAAAAACTAGGTTATTAAACAACATTTTAGGACATAAGGCACCGCCCCTGGGTGGAATTACAAGTTTTTAGGGAGTCCATCTGCAAGCTATTTTTCTGATAAGAGGTGTTGTTATGAGTGTGGAATTACCACAAATTAGCTTAAATGTAAAATGTTTTGCAGGGTCTAATAGCAGCTATGGATGGAAGGAGTGAGGAAATAAAAGAAGAGAGGGAGACAGAGGACTGTGGACACTTACTGTTGATTTTCATATAAGTATTTAGCGATCACCCAGGGCACAAGGAATATTAATGGGGTACCTGTAAAGAAATGAGAGCTGTCTAAATGCAAAACAGTCATTTCGTACACCAGCGTTATAGCTGTTTACGTTTTTCTGATCTCACTGAATTTCCTTTCATGCACAAAGTGTCATACAGCACATAATTACCTTGCATCCTCTGACTTAATATTCCACTCAGACACACCTAAATACACACTCGCAGACACTTAGCAGCAGCTCACCCCAGCCAATGCACAGGTAGATTTTGAAGTAGTTCCTCTCTGTAAACACAGTGATGACCAGGAGGTTGTGGAGGTAGATGCCTTCCACCAGCAGCCAGTAGCTGTTGGCCATGATACTGTACTGCATCATCACCATGGCGATGCGGCAGCTCACCACCATCTGCGAGATGGCAAAGAGGTTTATTACACACATGATGAAATATCGTAGCTATCTGATGCTGAGCGTCATTTAGTGATGTGGATGGTGAGAGCAGCGCCGCAGCAGATGGGAGCTCCTTCTGCCGCCAGGATTCAGGCTATGTGCCAGCAGCCACGAGATTTTCCAACAGCAGCAACTTTAACCTCAGCCACATCCAGCTGTGACCTCCCAAACAAACACAAGTACTCTACACATCAAATCACATGGCTGACCCTGGCCCCTTATATGAATAATTAGCGGCTACAATTATCTCTGTGGTTACCATTACCCCTCACAATAGAGTTTCATTGTACTGTTATACAAATCATAATGGTAGCATCACATACCCTGCTACTATTCTTTGTACAATCTTTGATAGCTCTCATGCAGTTTGATGTTTTTATGTTCTATTATTATGTGCATTATTCATAAGGTATACCATAGACTGCAGATAATTAAATTATTAAAGACACAAAAGCAGTTTTAAGCAGCTTTTTCTAGTTCTATTCTGTTTGGCGCTGTCCCAAATTTTTCACTTTATAACAATTGCTGCAGTGAGGAGGGAGGTTAAATGTTATATTTTGCTTTTTAAAATTTCAAAACTCTCTCTCTTTCTTCCCGAAATAGACACATAACTCTTCCCGTAGCAAAAAGAGAAAAACAAATGACTCCCTTTGTTGTTCAGCTACAGATCACCACTGACCTCGTTGTTGACCAGCAGCTCCACTGGAGGAAAGGACGCCTGGGGAAATCCCTGCTCCTGGTCTCTGCCAAGGTCCCGCAACGGTGTGTTGGCCTCCAACAGAGCATCTTTGATGAGGATGGACAGCGCTCGCAGGATGAAGGAGGCAAACAGGTTCATGTGGATGTTGTTCCTCATGCAGTGCAGTTTTCTTATGAATGAGAGGCAACAATGGTCAGTCCCTTTTCCACCGCAATAATAAACTACAATATAGCTTTCTGATTACAGGAGTAGTTTGACATTTGGGGAAATATGGTTAGTCACATTCTTTCTATGAGGCAGATGGGGAGATTGATGCTACTCTCATCTTCACAACTGAACACCACTGTTCTGATTTTTGAAGATGTAAAAAAACTAACATTATGCTGCAAACAAACTTCACCATAGTCACATGACTTCAACGTCACCACCACAAGGAGGCTCTAAAACTGCATTAGATATGATGACATACTGTCATCTAATTTCCACAGACCTCATTTCAGGCATCTAATCAAAAAGCAATTTAAAAAACATGTTAACTTCGAGATGAGGGCACCAGAAGTGAAAAAAATGCTAACACATTTCTGCGTTTTAGTACAAATTCCTGCTGCAATTTATCAATTTAAATGTAAGTTTTCCCTTTCTAGCTATGTCAGAATCTACTGGAATTGTTATCTTATACTTCTTAGAAAAGATTTCAACAAAAAATCATTATTACCTAAAGAATATGAGGATGCCAAGCGCCAACACCAAAGCCACCAGTGATAAGGAATAGCCCACTGTGTACATGATCCGAATGTGGCCATAGTACTGCTGCATATTAAAACACAGACAGACATGTTTAGATGTATTTCCTATGTCAGATTTAACAGGAACATCTCATATGTGCTCTTTAAACGCTTCTTTGTTTCTGTGAAGAATAACAAGAGCTATTTCTTACCTGACCTGTATCATTAGAGTCACACTCGCTGGTATTCTTCGTAGTTGCCCACTGGCCGTTTGCATCACAGTCCTGATACACCATGCCATGTTTAACTTAACACACACACACAGACACACACACACACACACGTGGTCTCTGTGATTTACAGGAGGCTTCAGTCATCACACACAGCTGTCAGCAAAATAACGGCCATACAGTGTGTATCTGCTGACCCAAGTGTCTCTTACCTTTATGGTACCATGGCAGATACCACGGACATGGCACACTGACAGTGGTGTTGGGGAGTCCATCAGGCCAACAGGCATACAAGTCAAATTCCCTCTGGCACATGAGGCCTGGAGATGAAAGAAAAAAAATTAATATGGGTTGTTTTTTCATACAACAACGGCCCTCACACACTATATTTTTGTCTGTATCTATAGCCTGGAGTGGTCTGAGGCATTGAATACAGTAGCATGTCTTTGACGTGATGGCTGCTGGTAGCCATTATGGCGTCTGTACACCTCATGGTCTTTCATCTTGACTTCAGAGTCCATCGATGACTTCTTTCTGCTTACACCACACCTTTCATCTTCTCAACAGAGGATGTAAACAGCGCTGGCTGTTAGTGTATGGACAGGATGTTCAGGTGTTAAAAGTCCCATCTCCTCTACGCCTGCTAATTTGCTGTTACACTCATGGGGGTGACAGGACGGGTGTATGAGTGCCACAGAGTGGTGTGATTTTGTGCGCATTGTGGGAAGCAGCCTTTTTTTTTTTTTCAAAGTTGGAGCGTCTGTGTTCCTCACCTCTAGTCCACAAGCTAACAGACTATAATGTACCTGAAGGGCAGCATTCTCCGTGCAGTTAAATGCTGCTGATGGAGCGAACTGAATCCAGAGAGCAGAGAGTGTGGTGCAGCAAATAGAAAACTGTGAGCGGCTGCAAGCAGAGTGATTATACAATGGTTTGAGCAGGGAGCGGATATTGCTGCCGCTCCACAGTCTAGTGACAGTGTGACCTAATCATTACCAGCTCTACTGCATTAGGTAGTTGCCACTGCACCACAAGGTGAGGGTGAATGCTGAATTTCTCTCTCATGTGAATTCAAATTATATATATGAAAAATATCTCTTGTATATCTAACGTCTAAGGAATGTTGTCAGGGCAGCGGAGATGATTTAGGATTCATAGCGCATCATAATGCTGCCCTTCAATGTTTCTCTAGATAAAAACTTTAATGCCTACAATCTTTATTAATTGCAGAGGGTACAGTCAATAACAGGTGGGATTTGAGATGGGATTTCAAGGATGTTATGCTGTCAGACTGTCGAATGTGTGGAGGTAGGGAGTTCCAGAGCCTGGGGGCAGTGCAGCTGAAAGCCCTGGCACCCATGGTGCTGAGACATGAAGTGGGGATGATCAGGAGAGCAGCAGAGGAAGAGCACAAGGAGCGGGAGGGGGTGTACTCCTGGAGGAGGCCAGAGAGATAGGTGGGAGCTAGGTGGTGGAGGGCTTTGAAGGTGAGCAGAAGGTTTTTGTACTGAACAGGGAGCCAGTGTAGTTGGACGAGAATGGGCGTGATGTGGTCAAAAGATTTGGTGCGGGGTGACGATCCGGGCAGCAGGGTTTTGAATGATTTGAAGCCTGTTAATGAGTTTGGTGGGAAGGCCAGAGAATACCGCCTAACAGTAGTCAATACGTGATGTGACAAATGTATGGACCAAGCATTCAGCGCTGGACTGGGACAGTGATGGGCGGAGTCTGGAAATGTTGCAGAGAAAGAAAGCAGTCCAGGTAATATTGTACTCTTGATTAAAATAACTACTTCTGTTACGTACAGGATGTAAGGATGTCACGTAACATGATGTAACTATGTAAAGACCAAAAGTAGGTTGAGTTAGAAGTCAATGGCGAACCTGAACAGCGGTCTACAGAATGAAAGTCCAGTGTTTAAACCCTAACATTGGCCTCTGACTTGATAAGTGCCCTTTTTCTTTTAATAATTTTACAATTTAGTTTTTAAATTTGGCCCACACCATCAATTCTCACTTTGAATCATGTTGTATGCACGTGCTGGACACCCATGTGAGTGTAGCCCCTTGACCTCCCTTTTCAACTTCCCTTGTTGTCACAGCTACCACAGTTCCTCCCTTTATGGACAACCTGGTAACGATAATGTTTGCAAGTGTCTGCATTGTTCTTACTAGTATGAAATATTAAAACACTTTTAAAACATCTCAATACAGCCAGCCTAACATAGGCAACAACCCACCATTTTGCGTAACAACAAGTAAGATAGCTTGCTGTAAAATCACACTGTCTCGCTCCAACTCTCTCGCAGATTCAGGGTCACCAAATGCCTGAAACGGGCAAAGACAGATGCCTAATTTGGTTTCCCACTTCCATATGTCTCTATAAACCAAAACTCAACTCAAAATAATGTTAACATCTCCTACACTGCAGCTCTGGTAATTCATTTAAACTAATTTCATGTGCTGGACGAACATGTCGTGCACAAAGATGCAAAGGAACAGATGAGAAGAGGAGAGCTGCAGCCTGCATGTGTCTGTTCTCTGCAATTCTTTTAGAATATTCAAAGCTTATCTAGAAGGTAATTTTAAGAATTAGCACGTGACTGATTACAGAAGGAGAAGAAAATGGGGAGAGGAGGAGAATGTATAGAGAAGAGGAGAGCAAAGAGAAAGGAGTGGAGAATAGAGTGATGACAAGGAGGAGAACACAATTGGCCTGATTGTTGCAGCTGAACATAGGCATTTGGAGTGTAGATTGGCTGGTTTGTTGCATTATTATTTTTTAATTTTGTTGAGACTTGTTGAGTGGTTATTGTATAGACCACTAAAGTGTTCACAGTGTGGCATTGTTCTCTGTTGTCGCCTGTTATTGATGAATGTAGAGAGGGAATGTGTAGGTGTGGCAGCTGCAAGGTACATCTAGTACAGACCTTGAGAGAGCTCATATGTAAGCCAGACAGACACCTTCTCATTACTGTGCACAAATGTTCTGTCTGTACATAGTCCTCAAGAGCCTTTCAGGTGCTTATAGAAACTTCTAACACATAAAACTTTAAGCGCACAGTTTTTCCTTGCTCGCAAATGTGTGCCCTTTTTATCAGCTTGAGCACCTGCCCAAAATGTCCCTGCATGTCCCCACCTAACTTCTCTCTTGAATACCTATGGGGTCGTAACACTAGAAGTATGCTATACAGGATTGTCAATAACTGTTTGCTAACAAGCTCGCCAGCTAAAGTGAAAGAGAGTCGCTCTTGTTTGGCATTTTCTGTCTCTTGGATGCTTGCTCTTAATGGTCTGGCACCTTTTATAAAGCCCTGTCCTCACCTGAGTGCTGTAGGGGTACAGATCTAATGACAGAAAATAAGAAAATAGAGAAAGAGGCCAGAGTCTCTGCAGAAAAATACACTGCCAAACACTGGGTCATAAGTGATGAATGAGAGGGATTACTGCACATTGTTTTTTAGGAAAATTCTGCATTAACCACCGCCCATTGCGTGACAGTGTTGAACCAGGGAATTCATGTCTCCACCAGGACAAAGAATCCTAATTGACTTTCAACTGGCACTGTTTCTGTGGTGCTGACATGTTGTTTCAACACAATACGTTCCACCACCGTGTCATGCTAATGGTGTTAAAAGATCATCGAAATTTTTAAGTATCTCTGTGAGACCAGATCGCAAAGAACACAAATGACTAAGACTTTCTTTATGCTTTATCCATTCACAATTCTCTCTCTATCCCACTCCCACCACTTCCACCAATCAGCTGACTATGGGTGCTCCCTCCTCCGGTTAGCCAATTAAACTTTGCTACAGTCTCCTTCAGCCATTCATGCTGCTGCCAAACTTTAAATCTGATCTCCTCTCTGCTCCTGTCAGCTGTCATTTCAGGTGGAATCGCCTCCAGTCACCTTTTCCAGGGCTCAGGACAAAAGCCCACTCCTCTTCATATCTCATCTAATCACCACCATTACCACCACCAGCATCTAAACTCCATAGGGGGAGATCCCTAATCTACCACGTCCTTACCACCCTCCTGGAATAGATGACATCACAATGGGGTCAAATCACTGAAGACTTTTCTCATTTCTCTTACTTATGTGCACTTTTAAATAATTATTCTTTTCTCTCAGAACAAGTCTGTCCTGATTGAACTCCAAATAAATGTTTATATGTTGCACCGTATCTGCTGGATGTGTAAATAAGCAACTGTATGCTAGCAGGTTTGCAATATCAAATGGAGAAGATGATTAGTTACTGCACTTTTGTCCATTGAAAATGAGTTACATGTTAAGCTGCTAAGCTCACCGGTGCTTGGCGGGTCTCGGCTGATGTTGCGCTTACACTCCTCTGTGTACAATTTCCAACTCTCCTTCAGCTTATCCAGAGAAGCAGCAGGAGACACCTGAGGAAACAGTGGGGCACATGCAACAAAAAACTCCAGTTACATGAGGTGGGTCTGTTATTCGTGTACTTATCGATGTAGTGTAAGCAGGTAGGCAAGAAAAATGTGTGCTTTACACAAACAATGAAGACAGAATGTGTGCAATAACTGCACTGTCATTCATTTGTTTCACTTCAGTAGCTGTAAACAACTCATCCTCAGGATGGGGATATAATCCATCAGGGTGATGCTGTGTCCTGATGTGTCGTCTGTATGGGGGACTTGTACTAATGTATGGACAGGCTGATTTATTGTACACTATAACACTCCTATCATTAAAAAACAGGGACAGACATTTTGTTTAGGCTCCCACACCACGACTCTCTGGCTTGTTTCATAAGGCAGCAGCGCTAAAGAAACAACATCCACCTCCACATTGTAAAGGTCAGTGACTAATGGAAGTTCACAGACTTACATGGAGGCTGTTTACCTATGGGAAAAAGTGTGAATATGACATGTATATGTGCCTCTTTGTGAGAGTGCAAGCTCTCTGGACTTACCTCGATGCTGCAGGAGACAATCAGCATCGCCGAAAGGAGGAACAGCTGTGACATCCCTTATTCCTGCTGGTGGTGCTGGGAGGGGATACTGCAGGACGGGGAAGGGTTTTCACCTCATAAGGGGGCTTATCTACGCTCGCCACACTGCCTGCATGACACAGAGACACACAATCCATCAAAGCTCATTGCAAACACACCACTTATTGCCTCGACTGCACTTGGCCGCACAAATCAAGAAGACCAAAACAGGAAAAGGCTGGGGCATAATAACAACACAATTTGAGTTTGCAAGGTGTACAAGCAGCAGGATGGACTATCCAGAACATCCTACACGTAGCCAGAAACCTCCAGGAAATGCTGTTCGTCCCATCGATAAGACAGCTGCGGCTCAGCAGAGCTGTACCCACTCAGGGGACTCACAGTTGGCTGCCGTCCACCTTCATCTTAAAGCCTGTCAGTGTTTGATCGAGCGTGTGTCAGCGTGTGCCAGAGGTCACTCACCTGTGTATTGATCAAAGGCCGCAAACTCCCCAGAGAGATTTGGTTCGAAGCGGGAGAACGGAACGAAATCTGAAACGTTTCTGCAAAAAACACCTTGACCATGGAAACATTTTTGGCTAAAACGTTTCAAATTCCATTCTGTTCTAGTCTCGTGGCAGGGAGGAGGATGGGCTCGTGTTGACATGTTTGGATTTTCTTTTGTTTACTGAGGCTACGGTGTTTGGGCAGGAGATAAGAGCACAATGCACCATGACAGATGTGCAGTACTGTGTGTAATGTACGTGCTCATGTGAGTTTTTAGCTCACATTTTGACTGAACATGTCAACAAGCTTCTAAAGTCTAGCTGCCACAAGGTTCCAGTCACAATGTAAATGTCCACCCTTATATTTCACAAAGCTTTACTGGAAGTCAGACTTCAGATAATATCTTAATCAAAGAGCCATACTTTCTAAATGGCCTGTTCAGTGTAATGACCACAGGATGCAGTTAGCGTTAGCTGCAGTACAGACTGACTGATTGCCCCGGGTGCCTCAGGGATCAGGCGACCTCTTGTCTGGTCTGACATCGGGTCAAGGCTGCTCCAGCTGAGATCATACCACTGACTCTTTTGCCCTTAACACCATCAGACATGTTGGAGTCACAGCTCAGTTACCACTCATATTACACGTTCTGACTTTCACAGCAACAGAAGTGGCTTGAAACACAGAAGCATCTCTGGTATGAGATGTTGGCTTTGATTCAAACACTCAAGGATCAGTTATGGCTCATTAAAAGCACACCGTTCATGCTTTACACAAATGTCACGAACCAAAAACAACAGCCAAATTGTGTCAATCACACTGCTAAATCAAACATCTGTTCTGTAAGTGCAAGTTCTTACCAGAGAAACTTCTCAGGCATCATTCTGTGAGTGCATGATGTTTAAGCATGAATCTGGGTGCAGATGAGAGGCTGACATGCATGTGGGTGAGCACATGCTCCTGCTTACGGCATGAGTGTTACGCCAGTGTGGGGCAGTTTTCCATGGGTTTCCCCCTTCTCTTTCTCGCTCCCGTCACACAAACACATATAGAGACTCATTTCCCAACACACCAACCGGCCTGCACCACTTTCTGCAACTTAGCACCAAGTAGGAGCAATGATTAACCAGACCCAGCGCTCAGTGCTGCAGGAGGGTGATGAAAGAGACGCTGAGAACGCAAGACAGAAAAAGAAAGAGTTTCTCAACCCTTTCTGACCCCGTTATTATGTCCCCACACACACAGAGGCCATTACATATCTGTGAAGTGTCAACAAAAATGAATAGCCCACATTAGTTTTGTTTTTTGTTTTTTTCATGTGAAAACAATATCTCTTAAAGTGAAGCATCTCTACAGTCAGGTGACTGACCATTAACACCACACTAAAGCCCCTGCTCTGTTTACAGGAATATGTCCCCCACATAATGACCATTTGTTACTCACACTATGTTAAGTTTAATTTGTAAAGAAAACTTTGTTTTTCTCGCAGGCCTCCACGTTGAATAGAGAATTAAAAAAAAGCGAACACTTCTCATTAATAGCCTGGGCTATTATTTGCTTAAATGACTTAACAGGTGTCTATATGGGACAGGCCTTTAATTCCTTTTACACATAACTGTTGCTCAGCAAATATGGTAAATGCAGTCAAATTGTTTATATAAACCAGTATGAATTTCTCTTGTATAAAAAATAGGCTTCAAATAATATATTCATTATGAATCATTCCTTTGATGTAGCTCTGGCGGACTGTTTCACAGCACCCGCTGGTTACGGCACCTGGCATACTGACACAACACCACTTGATGTTTTTGTTAAAACAAAATTCACTTGGATTGATTTTAACGAAAAACAACTTTGATTCTTTTGATTGGTGAACCCTTATGGACTAAAGGAAAATAAGGTGACTACCAGGTAATTGAGGAATGGACACATATTCTGACTTGTTTACCATGGTGGTAACTCTGGATGGATTACTGTCTTCTTTGGTGGTGACCGTTATATTTGTATGCACAATCGAAGCAGCAAACTAATGTTAGTTCAAGTGGGTAGCCAACAACCCAGTTTCATACATTAACACCTTTCACAACTATTTAACCCTTTGAACTCTGAACTAATTGGTGCAAGAAATGAAATGAAAATGAAAAATAAATAGATAAATAAATATACATATAATTATTTTTTTTTAAATATGGAATATAAGAAAAAAGCTAGGAAAAATATTATACTTATAATTATTATTTGCATTATATTTAAAAATTCAAGAGTTATCATAATTTTTAAGAACTTTTTCCATTTCCTTCTTTGTTTGTTTTTACCTTTATTTATTTATTTATTTATTTTTTACTTATTTTCTTGCATTTAATTTTCTCTTTTTACTAATTTCTTGCTGATTTTTCTGGGTCGTCTTTTTCGTTGCTCATTGCCTTTTCCCCACGTTTTTAAAGAAATTAAGTCAGTTCGCTCAGGTTTCAAAGGGTTAAAGAACTTGCTTGGCAATCAGATCAGGCATCTAACTGAGACGGGCGTTTAATTGTTAAAATGTGTTGTCACACCGGGCTACTAAAAGGGCCCCGGGCCTCTAATTGAGACTGGGCTTTTAATTGAAGTGTTACGATATTGAGTCAAATGCTCAGTATCTCCCAAACACTTGCATTTTCACTAACACCCTTCTATTCAAAACACTTGCACATTCATGTAGCATGCTTTGGCAAGCGCGTGCATCTGTACTCTGCTCAGGCTTTCAACTGGGTCGCCCAGGCACACTACTCATCCATGTGTGAGACTGTTTATGCAGAAGTGTTTGTTGATGTAGATTTGTAAATGGATGTTCTGATATAGTTTTGCTGTTGTTAACCACGGTCCCCCTTTAACTTTAATTCATCAAGAATTTTCTCTGTTTTTGTATTCCTCATTTAACGTTGAGACATGCTTTCATGAATTCAAGGTAATGCAGTGAGGGTGATATACATACGTTCCTTTAATCTTACTCCCTGACCATCACACCAAAGGTCCTTTCCTTACACTCCAGATTTTCACATCTCATGTCACGGATGTGTTTTCTGCTTTGTTTCATATTGCATCTGTATATTTTTAGATGTAGCATCACTAAATGCCCCAAAGCTAAACTCAAAATGAGGCTTTTCCTGGGAAAAGCACTCACTGCTTGTAATGCTCAAACAAGAAAAGCCAGAACATGAGAGGATTTTTAAAGTCACACCCTGAGGATATATGACCGTAAGTCTCTCGTGCTTTATTTGAGCAGATTTATCACATACGAGTGGATGCTTGGTTGCCTTTGATGCACGATGATGGGAATCACTTCGGCCATTTGGTGGGGGCTGGAGTGGAACTAATGGGCTTGAAGGTGTGAGGCTAATTAGGCTTGTATATTCTGCTGTTGTGATATCCTGCTGGACTCCCACTAAGCTGTGAATCGGTCGGTCTGCTGAGGATCCAGACCAATCGAGGTCCTCAGGAACATGTGTTGTTTTGCCCCGCTAGCTCTCTGTCTGTTCCAGGAAATAACCTGGAGCTCTGATTGCTATTGCTGAACATCTGATTTAAGGGATGAAACGACTGCGGAGAGTCAGGCAGAGCCAGAGGGATTGCTCGGATGGTTTGGGCCTGTTTCCTTTGGTGTTTTTCATCCTGAAACAAGTTACCAAACCAAAATATTTCACTTTGGCCTGGGGGTGTGTTCAACGTGTGAAAAATGATGTAATGCTTTTTTTTCTCCCCAGACAACTAAAGGGTTGTTGCTCCCATTTATTGCAAGGACAGACAGCTAGGTGTATGAATAATGCCTGGTCGTTTTATGTATGTTTGTGCGAAAAATACACCGACAATCAAATTAATGACGCAAATTCCCTGAATGTCCCAAACAACATAAAAACTGCTCTTTGTTCAAGTGTATGTTGGATGGCTCAATACAATGCCCACTAACAATTACTGTTGTTTGCTCAAGAGTACTTACCTTTCATTTGATTACACTGTCTAACAAATAAAATTAGAAAGGGGGAGTACGCATGCATGAATGCGGGCTGAGGGGAGAGCAGCAAGGATTAAAAACAAACCTCTTGGAAAACACAATAACTGTCCACTTCACGAAATGCCCCTGAGCAACAATCCATCATCCACATTTCCAGATGCAGAGGTGCAGCAGTGAGTTGAGGCCAACTATACAACTATACCTTGCAATGATGTGGCCTTTGTGCATTTATCAATACTGAAGCACTATTCACTTACCTAGCTTTCTAATATATGTAACAGAGACATCAACCAAACAGATGCAGCACAACTCTACAGCCACTGCTTTGTATATTCTGTCCGCTCTCTGTGCTTTGACTAAATAAGCCACGGCAAAGCGCATCACGCTCATACCTTAGGGCTGCAGATGTTACTCTTAGCATGACAGTGCTGGATGAGAGCCTCACTATCTGATAATAGGGTGAGGCAGAGTTCAGAGGAGACAGAACATCGTGCTGCGACACATTCTGCAACTTGGGTTCCACAAGGAAGACGGGCTATCGCTAAAATCTAGGCATTGCACGCTGCAAGACAAACTTGATCTCTGATTAGCAAGTACTCTTATCTGTCTTATTTGTTATTGTACAATAAGTTTCATCA